CCTGAGGGGTCACTCAACTTAAAGGGCGGGTGAGTGTCATATTTGTCCTTGGTTGAAGTTGGGCTCACTCAAAACTTGGCGGATCGTGGCCATTTTCCTACTCTATCTTGGTCCACTGTTCGTTCGACTGATACTTCCCCTCACGTTTCTGTTCTATAGGCTGGCTCGAAAGTGGGATGCAGTCCTCAAGCACGAAAGCGTCACAGTTGATCTCGTCAGGTACAGACTGATTTGGGCGACGACATGAAGGGTGAATGGAGAGATCACTACTGCTCAACTGGCAGTCGCGTTGTAGAACGTAACTATTGATTCTACGGCTTTCAAGTTCTATAACTATGATGGTAAAGCTTCCTTTCTGAGGACTTGACTTGTAAGGCTCTGGTTGTAGACAATGAAATGCGCGAGCTGCCCCCAGTCAACATCCCTCAGATTGGTACCGGTGCTCGGACTGGAATTGGACTCGAAACTCGATCGTGAATTAGGTTTTAACAGTTATGGAAAGTTTACGGATGGAAAGTTCAAGGCCGTCGCGCGTAAGGCTGTCCAGTTCCTCTTGTATATCCGGACTGATAACAAAGTGAAAGAAACTCGTCATTGGATCTGAGATACTGTCATTTGTTCAGAGTCCAGTCCGACCAGTCGCAGATTGCACTGTCGAAATCTGTACACAAGGACATCTCGGAACAAATGCATGTGTTCAGCGAGTGAAGTGGGGTCACGGTATGTGAAGTGTTGCAGATTGGGGAGGAGAATATCCCCATGAGGAGAGTAGAGCCGCTGTAGGAGTTCTTCATTGAAAAACTCGTCACCTGAAGACCCGTTGCAGAAGTCGAGGGATAAGTTTTTGACCGATGGGATGTTTTCGAGAACTTGAGTCAAAACGCGGTTGTCTGAGGGCTGATCTGTGTTATAATAGAAAGTGAAACTTTCCAACAGTTTCGAGGAACGAAATGGTTTCACGATTTGGAAAAGGAAGGCCTCTTCAGACGTGGACCCAAACGGACCGGCGAGGGAGACCTC